TTTTTTTTTTTTTTTTTTTTTTTTTTTTTTTTTTTTTAACTTTTTGAAAAGTGCTGAGCACACTGCATCTTCCATTGACTCCAGCACTTTTGAAAACTGGGCCACTTATTTAGGAGCCTACATGTGAACTTGAGAATTTTTGTTTTTGGAAACTCTTCTGTGTTGCCAGAAGCTGGGAATGGACGATGGGATGGATCAGTTGATTATCACCTGTTCTGTTCATTCCCTCTGGGGCTCCTGGCATTAGCCACAGTCGGAAGACAGGATATTGGGCTAGATGGACCTTTGGTCTGACCCACTATGGCCATTCTTATGTTCTTAAATGGTAGAGAGAATACAAGTATAATAGAATAATCTGTGAAGTGCTGAGCAACTGTACGTCAATGGGAATTGTAGTTAAGCACCTCGTGATTTAGCCCATGTTGACCTGTAGCTTTCCTCCCCAGTAGACATTTGTGGTGGTAACCTATTTAGTTGCCTATAAAGGATGCATGACCAAATTGCACTGAGTGAACTACCCTTGTAGGCATCTTCCTTTTTTTAACTTTTTTTTCTTTTTCCTCTCCAAACAGAAAGATTCCAGCCAACCTGCTGAATGCAAACAACAATAATAAGGAAATACCACTTCAGAGTGATATTTGAACAACTTGTAACAAATATATTTGGATACCTGGCCTGCAGTTCAGGATATTCCATTGCTGCAGCACAATCTTATTAACAATGCTTAAAATTAATTTGTTTTCAAGTGCATGATTTTCACTAACTTTTTTTTTTCCTATTTTTTGCTTAACTTGTACAGTGGTATCTTCACTGCATTTGGGAAATATGAGGTTTAAATAAAGCACACTCTACAGCCTTTGGTACACTGTAGCGAAATAATTGTCTGTAGGCTTTCTGATGAACCTTTTGCCCTATTCATAGGGAACTAGTCCAAACTACAAAGTAAAGACTATCCATTTTCTTGGTAAACATTGAAATTGTGGAATAGCACATGTGCTGAGAAGCAAAACTAAACGAATTAAATTTATGATAGCTAAAACAAATACAACAGTATGACTTGACTTTTGCTAGTAGTTCTCCTTTTTAATATAAAATTTTCCTGCAACCTACAAATCAGACTAGTGCTTGAGCAGCTTCAAATGTCGTATTTATTATCTCAGTAAAGCCAATTAAATTGAAGTAATTCTTCATTAATGGGGGTGTCATTCGAGATTTATGTAGTTGTTCATCTTTCTATTTATTTATTCATGTTTGTAAGTACTTTGACTGAATTAGTGCTTTTTTAATAGTTTTTAATATACTTGAAAATCTTTTCCTGTTTGCATAAAATATGGGTATTTGTACAAGGAAAATTTGATTTGGTCTCTCTGAAGGTAGTAGACAAAAGAAATAAACATGTTTCAAAATGACAGCTCTTTTTGGGGGAAAAATCATAACATACAGGCCAAATTATTGCTGTTGATGGAAATGGGTTGCAGCCAAAGAACCAGAAAATTTCCAGTAGTCTTATTGCTTAATATCCAGCATGGGAGGGGCTTTCATTCTGAACATATAAATTAACAAAATTTAACTCTGTAAATTCGAAGTTCTGTTTTACTTGCAACATTCAAATTACTCTGTTCCACAGTTTCTTGTTTTGTTTAAAACTCTGAAGTCTTCAAAGCTACCTTATGTTGTTGTGCAGAATTTCAGGTGCACATTTCTAGTTTAAGCATCCAATGCCAACCTCTGGCAGCAGTTGAATAGCAGCTGTATCAACACTGTGACCAGGCATGTAGAGAGTGCTCCAGCCTTACCTTACACATTTGTAACTTAATACAGTGTTTTCAATTTGTACAGAATAGTTAAATATTCTATTAAAGTTGTGAAACATGGAAAGTGATGACTGTCTTGTTCATTTTTCCTATATTAACTGAACACACCCATTTGATTTCCTATTTTACATGTGTCTATATGCAGTATGAAAAGAGATGTGCCAAATGGCCAAAAATTTATGACCACCTAATGCAAGAATACAGTTGGTATAAAGTGTTCAGCTTCCTACTATTTAGAGAAGGTTTGAGGCTGTTTCTAATGGGCATTACCCAGGTGTAAACGCATTTGAAGTACAGATACATAATCATATTTATAACTTCAGATACAAAAATGATGCATGCTATTGTAAGGGTTCTATAGTTTGTCTTGCTCCTTTGCATAATCAGACTTGCTCAGTTTGCAGATTTTTTTCTTAACTGCCAGAACTCTCACCTTGGGCTCTGACACCAGCTGAATATTTTCCTCCAGTCACCAGCAGGAAAGACTCTGGAGGGCAAGTTATTCCCTCAGCGTCCCCTATCCACTCCCACTATAGACTGAGGTTGCATGGGTGACAGAGAACACAATTTGATCCACAATAACTTTATTACCAGTGATGCACGAGATGGAAACCCAGCTTGATAGTCCACTACAGCCCAAGATAAGTTCTACTGGGCTAGTAGTGAAGTGTTTCCTTGCAAAACTGAGCAAGCTTGATGCACATGAGGAAAAATGAATAAGGAACCATGCAATACCATTGTTTCTTGCTTATTCATCATGGTTGAAATGTACTTCTGTGTTAAAAATGAGTGATTGAGAGAGATTTGGGAGTTCTTTTAAGAAGCGTTTATTAGATGGCCCCAAAAAAACCCCATGATTCCACTATCAAGGTAGGACAACTTTGGATAAAAGCTTATCCTGATAAAATGGCAAAGTGAAGGTTGCAATTAGAAATTAAAGCAATATATACCAAATAGCAATGTAAAATTAGTTATGAAATACTGAAAAGGAAGTTAAATACTTTATCCTTATCTCTGCTAGCCATGGAATTTCCTCTGTCTTTAAGTATGCTAGGAATAAAAGAAATCCTAGAAATGGTTTAGGCCATTACTAGATGGAGATGGTAAAATTGTTCATGCTAAACACAAGTATGGTGTTTTTAAAAAAACACATGTTCTGGTTGGCAAGAAGCAGGATGATGTACTCATACGGGTAAGGAAGTAATTTCTAACCATCGTAACAGGATGTTAAATATCTGCTAGAAACAAATATTACAAACTAATCCAGTCACCTCAACGTTTTTATCCAAAAAAAAAAAAAACCCACACCTTAAGACTGACCTCTAAGTCTCAGTGGAAGGCATTTTCTCCAGTCCTCAAATTGTTTGTGGTTCTCTTCTGCACCTTCTCCCATTTTCATGATCTCTTTAAAAAAAAAATATAGACCGATGTACACAGTATTCCAGTATCTCTCACCCATGCCCTCTACAGAGGTAAAAAAATCACCTTCCTCCTTCTATACATACATCCAAAGAATGGCATTAGCGTTTTGCCACAGCTGCATAGAGAGCTCATACAGAGTTACTTGTCCACTCTGTGAGGATTTTAGGGGTCAGTCACTGCCTTCTAGGATACAGGGCTCCATGCTGTAGGTCTGGCCTCCACTCCTAGTTCCTAGATCTAGAACTGTGCATTTTGCTGAATTAAAAACAAAAAAACAAACGCAGCTTATGCTGTGATCCTCCAGATCCCTCTGTATGACTCCTCTGTCCTCATCATTATTTACCTCTGACAATTTTTGTCATTCACAATTTTTTTTATCTGCAGTGATTTTATATTCATCTGAAGATCATTGATCAAAATTTTGAATAGCATCAGAACCCCATTAGAAACACCCCCATTTGATGATTCCCAACTTACAACTACTTTGAGATGTCAGTTAGCCTGCTCCCAAGCCATCTGTGTGCTTAAAACACTAGCACTGTACAATATCAGTAATCAGAATGTCGTGCAATACTCAAATACCTTCTAATGTCTACGTAGATTACATCTACACAGTTACCTTTAGCAAAATTTATAATCTCAATAAATGAAGTCAGGTTTGACAGTACCTAAAGCCATATTAACTCGCATTACCTATATTCTTTTCCTTTAGTTCTTTATTAACTGAATCCTGTATCAGCCCTTCCATTATTTTGTCTGGGATTGAGGCCAATATAGCTAGCCTATGGTTACCCAGGTCATCTCACTTGCCCCTTTTTGAATACTGGCACACTTGAGTCTTCAGGAATTTGCTGGGTGTTCTAAGATTTATTTAACATTATCAAGTCTCAGACAACTCTTTTAGGACTCTTGTGTGCAAGTTTTTCAGGCCTGCAGATTTGAAAAGCACCTTTTATAGTAGGGTACTAAAGGGATTAAGGTCCACCAGAAAAGGGCCCTAATGAGTCAGTGGCTGGAAGTTAAGTCATTCAAATTTTTTAAGTGAGGGTGTTTAATCAAGGGAACACGCTACCAAGGGAAACTGTGGATTCTCCAGCTTGTGTTCAGATCATGACAGATGCCTTTCTGGAAGATATGCTTCAGTCAAATACCTGTTGTTTGGTTCAATACAGGGGTAACTGAAATATAGTGGCCTCTGATGTACAGGAGGTCAGACTAGATCTAAAGATCCATTCTGGCCCCTTTTTGGGAATTTTTTTTTTTAACATGGGGTACACTAAGTTTATTTGAGAAGGAAAGAGAAATGGAGTACTACCATTGTTTGTAGCATGTTAAGTATATTGAGTTCCACTGTACAATGTTTGCAGCTTCTAATCCTTGAAAAGCCTAATTTTAGGACCAAAACTAATTGTGCTTGTTCTTAGCCAAAGATTGGACCTTCTGGAAAACTTGTACTTGATATTGTACCGCTTTTTCTGAATTACTTGGGGTGAGAGGAATAACAATTAGCAGTAACTCAGCTGTCTAACAAAGCTGCAAGCATAGAGTATGCTAGTCCTCTGAGGACCAATTCTCCCATCTAATATTGAAACAAATGCCCGAAGTTCTACAGCCTGCAACTGGCTGAGTGTATTCAGTAGGGAATAATTTTAGTAGGACAGTAGATGGGGCAAAGGCTCTATCTGTCAGCAGGAGTCTGGGCAAGGATGTGGGGATTCCCTTAGGCAGCTGGGATAACTTTGGGATTGAAATCCAAGACAAAAATCTCAAATGGGCAAAACACTAAAAAATATACTACAGGGAATAATCCTGCACTGGTGGAGACAGGGCCATGAACTATTGTACTTGACTTATGAGGAATTGCTAGACCAGCTCAGACCTATGGTCCAAGTCCAGTCAGAAGGGAGAGCTACAACTTTTAACACACAACCTTAACATTTTCAATAAAAACAAAGTGGATGAAGAAAAATCTCCTGTTGCAGCATCTTGGTACATTTGCTTACTGAATTCTAAACTTCTATTCAACAAAAATAAGTAATCTTCTGTGTAAGTACCTGTAGATTGTCATTGCAGGGACCACAGTTCTGCCTTATCCCCAAGTCATTTTAAAGTAGCTTACCTACTAGGCCCAAATAGCTAGCTATGTGCACAGCCAACTATGGCAGTAAAAATATCATTTTCACTGTACATGTAACTTTGTTTAAATTAGTTTCAGTGGGGTTAGGGCTAGGAGTCAGAGGCATGTTCCATTAACTTTAACCAGATAATAGTGAAGCAAAAAAAGAAAGATTCAGTAGGGAATTTTTAAAAATCCCAGGTACAGGAGCTAGACTAAATTGACATTTGTAGCTATATCACCTATCATGGTAGGAAGAGCACTTCAAATTTTTAAGAATAAATGAAGATCTCTCAAGTCCAGTGTTTCAATTAAACAGTGCTGCTATAGGTGATCCCTCCTGTGAGAGAGGACCATTCTAATTCAGGCCAATTCCATTCAGGGAATTGAACATGATGACCATAACCTTGACAATGACCCTGTACTAGGTAGGGAGCCAGGGCAGAGTGGATGGCGGGGGTCACATGTGCGTGGTGGCAGGCTTTGTTGCTGAGTAAACAAGTTTATACTTCAAGGCATTAGCAGAGCATGGACTGCCTGAGGCTATGATGAATTTTCTCATAGGTATGTTACGTAATTGTCTGTTAAAGTGTGCTACATCTTTGTCTGAAGCACTTGTCCCTTTTCTTGTTGCAGACAGGATATCTGCCTAGATGCACCATTGGTCTGAACAGATAAAAACTTAAACATTTTCTCTGTCTAGGTGAGTCCACAACCGTGGAACGGTGTATTCAGAGCCACCATTTAAATGCAAATATTCCATGTAAAATTACAAAATGTAAACAGACACTGGAGCAGTTAAGATCCTCCGACTCCACAGCCACATTGCTCACATAAAGTTTAACTAGAAATTAAAAAGAACAGGAGTACTTGTGGCACCTTAGAGACTAACAAATTTATTAGAGCATAAGCTTTCGTGGACTACAGCCCACTTCTTCGGATGCATATAGAATGGAACATATATTGAGGAGATATATATACACACATACAGAGTTCATGCTCTAAGGTGCCACAAGTACTCCTGTTCTTTTTGCGGATACAGACTACCACAGCTGCTACTCTGAAACCTAGAAATTAAAGTGACATGGACATACCTTGAAAATAAATTGGAGAACTTTAGCATTTTCATTCCTAGATTCTTTATCTTTGTAACATTAATAGTGAACTAAGAGCGGGCTTTGTTCTTGATATTGTCACATGCTCATGCTGTGATCCTAAATAGTTCTAGCCTCTTACAACCAGTGGAAGGCATCCCAAAGTTATTCCCAAAAGGCAGTGCTGTTTGTGGGAGGTGGCAGCCTCCTCCTCTCCAATAATAAATAGTAAGTCACTCACATGGGACAAGTGTCCAAACCACCAGCCCCTACCCCCCACAAATTATTGCTAATGAAGCTTTTTGCAAAGAGTGAGCTGGTCAGTGACTGCCAGATTTGTTTGTAGCCCAATTTTCTGCTCTGCTGGTTCACCTCTCTCCTACACAAGAAAATTACTCTCCACCCACCATCATGTTCACCTCTTACACAACT